TAATGCAAAGTGTAGGCTCTTTCATTATCGGTAATCATCCTGACCCAAGTATTCACCCAATATACAAAGTATTGTGACAGCTACAATGTGGAGAAAACAGCTAGGCCAGGAAATGGCAAAGCCTGCAGAGGATCTACTTACAGTTTGTAGGAAGGAAACAAAGGATGGGGGAGATGTTCTTTTCTGGGGGAGTTTCTTCACTAGGAGCATGAGTATGGCACTGTGGTTGCATAGAGGCCTGTCTGGTTGTCTGACATTTTCTGTGTCATCTGTGTCCACCAACCACAAAGGCCATCCTCTCTGGGCATGCCTCCTGACAGCAATTATTAAAAAGTCCCTTGAACTACTCCATTAGACACAGACTGAAAATGATGGAACATTCTGGAAGAGGTTTCCCTGGGTTCAAAAGGCTTAGAGGTGAGCAGAGTGTTGCTGGCAACACTCATAATTAAAACGTGAGGGTGAAAACCTGAGCGAAGGGGCCAAGGAGGTGACATAATCGACAGAGCAGGTCAGGTATAGATAGCGGGGAGTGGTGGGGGTGGGACTAAGGGTCTGATGCTGCCAGAATGGATGTTCCCAAGGAAAGCTGGGAACAGAGATTTTCAGGAAAATCTATTTTTGCATCTTTTGGAAATCACTGAAACACATTTTGTAAAGATTTAAGAATGAGGACCTATGCACACGTGTTTTAAATTCCTTCACAGTAAATGCGATGCAGTGTAAACGTATCACAGAAGTATATGCCATGTGACATCATGGGCGCACACAGGCAGGCTCAGACTCACACACACACACACACACACACACACACACACACACACACACACACCCTTTTCAAAGGAAAAGGGGAAAGAAAGCAAAGAGAGTTCTATAGCCCATACTGTAACACGTAGCTGAAGTGTACTTGCCGATTTGAAGCGGGTCCTCCGAATGTAATTCTATGATGGGTTGGGATAAGAAAGGCTTGACTCTGTGGGAAGATGGGAAAGACAGAAATGAGAAAAGGAGCTCAGTTTCAGCAAAACTGCAAACACCATCTCCAGAAACAGCAAACACATCCTGCTCCTATTCAAAGCAAGGGCCGCTCACTGAACAAGGCCTTCTGCTCCGTGACATCTGGCCCTTGGCACACGCAGTCACACTTTGGCGGATCAGGGCTCAGGGGAGGTCACTAAGCAGGACACTCAGAATCGGATGTCCACTCTCAATCTCATCATGAAATACTGAAGACTCAGAAATCACTCAAGAGGGGTCAGCAAGAATTTGTCTGATGTTCCAATGTTTTCCAAGTTGTCTTTAGTTTCCTGCCTCTTCTCCAACAAAATTTATAACCCAGTGCTTACTGCTCACAGTTATCTGGAAAACAGACTCCTATACAGACCTGAAGTCAGTAACATTTATGTGAGGAGTCCTCTCCTCCAGGATATGCAAAAAACCAGACCTGAGAGTCCTGAATCCTCTATCACAACAACCACACACAAAGGTCAATGCCTTTTCCAGCCTAGAAGCCACCTCTGGACTTAAGCAAGAGCCCACGTACTCTTATTTCACCTGGGGTTCTACCAAGCTAGATCCTCCTCTGCCGATACACAGTCTCAGATGCCAGGCGGCAACTAAAAAGCATACTTACTGTAACAGAATCTTCTATTTGGAAACGGTGAAAACCCGGTTTTTATAGGATATAGTAGAATAGCCTCATACTAGAAAACTATTTCCAGATGTTGAGAATTAGACATCTTTGAAGGAAACGCTGAAAAGTTTTAGGTTAACTAAGAATTTTTAAAAATGTAACGTGGTGCCTGGGTGGCTCAGTGGGTTAGGCCTCTGCCTTCAACTCCGGTCCTGATCTCGGGGTCCTGGGATTGGGCCCCACATCTGGCTCTCTGCTCAGCGGGGAGCCTGCTTCCCGCCCCTCCCCCCCACCTCTCTGCCTACTTGTGATCTCTCTCCCTGTCGAATAAATAAATAAAATAAATAAAATCTTTTAAAAAAATGTAAGACTTGACTTTTATTTAAATGACTCATTTAGAAAGAGGGAAGACAGCACAGGTTAGAACTACTAGGAAACACTGACCTTGGCTTGAGGCCAGGGTTTAAATCTCAGCTCCAACCCTTCTCCCACAGGTGCCCTGGAAATTCCCTTCACTGTTTTAAGCCTGGGTTTCCCCACTGGAATTCACGAGTCTGCTCTGAGTACTGAATTAGATGATCCAAGTGAAGCATTTCACATGGTGCTATGACAGCTCCCAGCAGAGATTCACAAACTCGTCCTCGACAACTCTGCAAATTTCTTAAAACCTGGCCTCAGGGTGGCACCTGGAATATCTCACATATAGTAAATGCCCAAGTTTAGCCTCCTTGTCATCCACTCGAACAATATTTACTACGCATCCCCTCTGGGCCGGGCACCTCTCTATACCCTGGAGATAATGAAGGAGACAAAACACATAGAACAATTCAGATGATCAAACCACTGTAGGTCATTTCTTTTCAAGGTTCAGACAAATGACGCTCACGGACAGAACTGTCACAACGGAGGGTGTACTGCATTTCGAAGACTGCTCCACAGGTTGGAATGAGGATGCCGGGGCCAGCAAGAAAATGGGGAGGGGGTCCAAGAGAAGAGCCCCCTAAAATGAGGTCCCCAGCATGCAGACCAGCCCCCTACTGACCACTGCCTCTAAATCTACCCGGCTCTGTTGTCTGGTCCAAGCCACACTTACTTGATGCTGTGTAGCTTTCTCGTGACTATGACCGGAAAGTCAACCTCAAAATATTTTCTTGGGAGAAGATCTTCATCTTGAGGAAAAATACAGAGTAAGTTTCCTAATTCTATATCCCCTCGTACATTTACTGACCATCTTCATGCACCGAGTACTAAGCCCCAAACAGCAACAGAGTATTTCAGGGCCCAAATCAGGAACGATATGTGAAAAATGCATGTTTCAGGTGACTTCGGTCTCTGTGTGGAGAATGGATGGAGGATGAAAGTTAGGAGGTGCTCATAGCCATCCAGGAAGAAGGTCCAGAGAGGAAGACATGGGGAGCCGGAACTGGGGGAGCAGCCACTGCAATGGAGACAGGGAGGTACTGAGAGGCCCTGGGGAAGTAGGACCTAACAGACTTTGCCAAAAAGCAGACTGAGACAGATTAGGGAGGGTCAGGAAGCCGATGTGGGGGTGGGGCCAGCATGTGGGGGATCAAATAGATTGTAACAGCAAATATCACAAAGCACCCGCCACGGTGAGGGCAAGTACTGTCTTGTGCTACATTTACTTTTTCCTGTGAGAGGAGAGTGTGGTGGGGGGAAAGGGCAGGCACTCTGGAGCCAGGGAATAGAGTTCAGATCCCAGCTCAGCCACTTGTCTGCTAGGAGGTGCTGGGAAGTCACTCAACTCCCTGGGCCAAGCTTTCCCCATCCACACAGTAGAGAAAGGGACAGCACCTCACGGGGCTGTGAGGAGTCCTGCAGAAATAAATACTCCAGCAACACTCACAGCAGGACCTGCCAGAGTAAGGGGCATGGGTGGGACTTTATGATGTATTGATATGTGCACACAGACGTGGGGTTGGCCTGGGCTATATATTTATTTCTACTGTGGGTCGCAGTAATGAAAGTGTGAAAGCCACACACACAAATAGAAAACACACAAACACACACTGAGTCAAAGAAACGCATCTACACAGAGACACAGAGACCCATGCACAAACATACGGAGACCCACAGACACAAAGACGCAGAGACACATATGCAAAGACACACAGATACACACACAGAGGTACACACACCCACACAGAGACACAGACACACACACTCACGGCCCCACTCCATCTGTGTCCCAGTCTGGTCACCCCCTGGCCATCCTAGCACATTCTCTCCATGTCTGTCATATCCAGTCACTCAGCCCTGATGACTATTCTTGAACGCATTCTCTCCTCAACCCCCAGCTGCAGAGACACCCCTTTCTGACCTCTTCCTACCACACCCTGTGTGTCGCCTGCAGCAGCTCCTCACGACCCTACAGCCTAGCAAGAAACAAGATGCTCCGTACCTGCTGACTTATTCGGCATCCCGCCCACCCCATGTATTCTTTGAACACCCGTGTCCACCTGTACTTCTATTCCAGAAATACAGAACCAGTTTGCTCAAGGGGAAAAGACAAAAGAAAAGACAGGTGCTGGTATCCAGAATCTAGCCACGGTGTCGCTATTGCAGGCTGGGATGACACCCCCGTTTCTGACGTGAGCCACTGCACAGGCAAGAGCACCGTGTATGCAGACAGTCACCCGCGATGGGAAGCAGAGACTGCTGGGTCGCCAATCCCGGGGTCAGCATGATGGGGGCAGAAATCATGAGCAAGCATTTCCTAATAGGAGGGGACACCAAAGGGCGAGTGTCAAAACTGTAGGTCCAGCTACCGCCCACCCTTGTGGAACATCTCAGGGGGTCTGGTTTGCAGGAGAGGCAGGGAGAGAGAGGGAGACAGGAGGACAGAGAAAAAGACCGCTTCCTGGCATATCAGAAGACACAGGCTCAGCCACCCCAACCGTTCACATTCACAGCTGCCACGCATGCCTGGCCGTGTGCAGAACGCGGCGATGGACGAGCCAGCTGAGGCAACTGGGAGGAAATGTTTAGAGCAGATGAGGACGTAACTTCTGCTAGGATACCCCACAACACCCTTCCAGAATGTTACTCCCACGATAGGAAAGGTTAAGGAGAGTCTAAAATTCCAAGACAATGAGAATGATTGCAAGCAAATTAAAGACAGCATACACTACTATACCTTGTGTTGGACTTCTTACCTTATTATAAGGAGCTTTCCCTCGGGATGTCTGGGTGGCTCAGTTGAGTAAGCGGCCAACTCTTGATTTCAGTTCAGGTCACAATCTCAGGGTCATAGGATCCAGTCATGAGTTGGGTTCAGTGCTCAGTGGGGAGTCTGCTTCTGGATTCTCTGTATCCTTTTGCCTCTGCCCCTCCTCGCTCATTCTCCCTCCCTCTCTCTCAAATAAATAAATAGATCTTAAAAAAAAAAAAAAAAAAAAAGAGTTTCCCAGCCATCGGATACTTGACCCTCAGAAAAATTCTGAATAAGGGGTCACTGTGGAGGGAAAGCTATCCAGAGGCACACCTGGAGCCTCTAGGAACAGACATCTTCTTTCTGGGCTTTGGCAAGAAGCAAAACATCTGTGGCACGTGACACTTCCACTTTTGATTCTGGGATCCCTAAGCCCGTCTGATACCATTCGTCAGGAGCTGGCGTGTCACAGGAGGTGTGGAAGACACCCAGGACAGGGCCTTGCTCCAGGACAGCAGCCAGGGACACCTCTGAGGAAGGACAGCCCTCTGATTCAAAGGGGATCCCAAAGGGCCGACCGCAGCACAGGCTGCCCAAGTGACACCCTTCCCCCGTGTCCTTGATCCTAGGGTTGTGTGGAAAGAGAAGTTGGGAGATACAGAGAAGCCAAGGTCCCTTAAAGGGGTTCACTACCCCATGACTCTTTATCTGTGACGGTAGTGGCTTTCCTGGGCCCTACTGCTGCCCACTGCCAGAGGCAGGAGCCTTCAACTGTCCCCACAGGCTTGGGCCCGAGATCATACAGAATGACCTCCCACTGTGGTGGAAGCAGAAAGCCTGTGACCCGCTGCTAAGCCTCTGTTGGTGCAGCCGGGGGACCATCCAGGGTGGAAGGTGCATGAGACCATGAGAATGGAAGAAAAAATTTTCTCCACACTGTCTAGAAGCACAGATCTCTCAATTCAGGGATTAGAAAACTTGCTGCAAATAACCAGAAAGTATTTTAGCCTTTGCAGGCCAGACGGCATCTCCTCAAACTATTCAACTCTATGGTAGTGCTGGTAAAGCAGCCATAGAGAAGACTTTACGTAATTACGTAAATAGGAGTGGCTGTGTTGCAATAAAACTTTATTTACAAAGACAGGTGGGTAGGCGAAATTTGGCCCTTTCAGCCTGGGCTCCAAAGTCCAAACAGGCATTCTTTTTTTTTTCAAGGAGACTAGAGTTTTTTAAAAACCCTTTGGACCAATCCAAAACACCTCCACTACATCTTTCCTATCCTGTGCTATTTGCCTTCCTTACTACTGGCAGATTACATTTTTCTTGGAAGGGGTACCTAAGTCTCAGTGTACCTGGACCAGAAATTAAAATGTCAGGGGGCACCTGGGTGGCTCAGTGGGTTAACGCCTCTGCCTCAGCTCAGGTCATGATCCCGGGGTCCTGGGATCGAGTCCCGCGTCAGGCTCTCTGCTCTGCAGGGAGCCTGCTTCCTCCTCTCTCTGCCTGCCTCTCTGCCTACTTCTGACCTCTGTCTGTCAAATAAATAAATAAAATTAAAAAAAAAAGAGATTAAAATGTCAGATTTATTCCTTATCGACCCAACTACATGACACGAAGGAGAAACCAAACCTCGGGACCAATTCGAAAGGGTGTGTGGCCGAGAGGAGGCATTTCTTCAGTGGCTTCTGCTCACCCTGCACACATTCTGCACTCTACGTTCTGCTCCAGCTCCTTCCACCACATGATGGTCACTGAGGTACAGGCACCACCGACTGATGGACCACAAAGACCCCCCTGAGAAAGCACAAGGCTCTGGACAGAGAACAGGGAAGCAACCTGGACTTGCGGGACCTGCAGTCTATTCGCTCCTGGTTGTCACTAACCGGACCCGTCTCGTTTCCTGTGAGTGAGCGTAGTTATACCTGTTCTTGCTCGTTAGCAGAGCAGGTGAGGGATCAAATCAGGGAATAGCTATGAAAGGCCTCTGTGCCATATCACTATCATCCAGCCTTGCACATCTCTAAACTGTACTGACGACACTGTCACGATGACAATAAAATCTTCGTGATCGTTAATATGGCAGACACAGGGGCTCTGGGCCTCACAATCCCACTGGCAGGGCCTTCCACACATGCAGAGGACACATCAACAAGGGTTTCTATCAGAAGCCCAGTTTCTAACAGCAAAGGAGGAGAAGCCAAGCACCCATCCTTCAGCAGGGCCCCGGTGACATCAAGTACGTGGCTGACGGCGGCAGCAGGCGCAAGTAGCTGGGCACAGAGGCGCGAGACAGGCAGTCACTGCATTCCCTCTGAATATATTTTTAACATTTTGAACCAGGCGGGCACCTTCACAAATGAAACAATTCGGGAAAGAAGAGGGCGAATGTTCATTTACCTTTAATCTCCAGAAGGTGGTCTCCATCCCAGTCCCAGGATTTAGAATTTGACAATGACATTCGTCTTCCGTAGAAATGCCTTTATCAGCTGACTGACGCCATAGACTCGAGCAAAATATCCTGAGAGAGAGAGACGCAGAGACAAGTTATTGCTCAGTGAGGTCAGAAAGCATCCCTGCAGAGCCCACCTCAGGAGAAGAGCAAATGAGGATTCTGCTGCTCTTCTTTCGGGTCAGTGATTTATCTGTGGACTCATGGGAGAAATCAGGACTTTCACATTCTCTACCCTTTTTTTTTTTTTAATTTTTAAATTTAAAGCTGCTGGAACCACAGTAAGTACAATCTATTTAATGATTTATTTATTTATTTATTTATTTTTTTTAAAGATTTTATTTATTTGACAGAGAGAAATCACAAGTAGGCAGAGAAGCAGGCAGAGAGAGAGGAGGAAGCAGGCTCCCCGCTGAGCAGAAAGCCCGATGTGGGCCTCGAACCCAGGACCTGGGATCATGACCTGAGCCGAAGGCAGCGGCCCAACCCACTGAGCCACCCAGGCGCCCCTATTTAATGATTTAATGGTGGAATTAAAGATCGTAGAAATAAAATGTCCCTTGTGGCACACCTTGGTGGCTCAGTCAGTTAAGAGTCTGCCTTTGGCTCAGGTCAGGCTCTCAGGGTCCTGGGATCAAGGCCCACATTGGGCTCCCTGCTCCGCTGAGAGCCTGCTTTTCCCTCTCTCTCTGGCCCTTCCACTCATGCTCTCCCTCTCCAATAAATAAATAAATAAATAAAATCTTTAAAAATTAAAATATAATATCCCATGATTGTACATAGGAAAGACAAGTGTTTTACATCAAAACATTGGATCTAATGTTCCTCTTTGAAATATGCGTTTTTGTGGCCAGGTACAAACTACTTAGGACTCAGCTAAACCTCAAAATGCGAGATCAAGATGAAATAATATTTTGCGGGGGCGCCTGGGTGGCTCAGTCGGTTAAGTGGCTGCCTTCAGCTCGGGTCATGATTCCGGGGTCCTGGGATCGAGCCCCGCATCGGGCTCCCTGCTCAGTGGGGAGTCTGCTTCTCCCTCTCCCTCTTTCTGCTTGTACTCTCTGTCAAATAAATAAATAAAATCTTAAAAAATAAAAATAAAAAAATAATATTTTGTGGTCAGACTATTTGCAGACCATTTGCAGATAAATGGCCAAGCAAAATGAAATAAAATAAAATAAAGCCATATTTCTTACCATGTTCCCTTCATCTCCATCCTGTGTAGGTAAAAGCCTCTATGCTTATAAATTGACCTCACAGACCATCTGCAGGAGAGAGAGGCATGAGCAAACATTGCCCCCAAAATGGACTTATTCAGCTCCAGGGTGGGGCGCTTGCGTAAAGGAGATGGGAAATAAAAGAGCGGAAAAGGAAGATAAAATCTGTGTTCTAAAGTCCTGTTGCTTAAAGCATAACTATCTTAAGAACGAAATTTGAATAGCATTTAGAAACTTACTGCAATGTGATATACGAGTTCTAGGTCTACCGATTCTCCTAATATTTAATTTGAGCTTGTACTTTACAAGTTATCTTGCATTTTATGTTTCTAGGAAATCATTTTTATTGTATGTTATAGAATATCGTCCACAACAGACTGGATATTGAAACAAAAACTTTAAGGATGCTCACCACACCCTATTTGGGAAGCCCTTTCTTTGTGTGCTGCGGTCTGGAGATACCAGCCCAGGCAGAGGAAGAAGGAAGGCAGGCCGCTGACAGGCTGCCTAGGGGCACCCAGCTCCCCAGGGCTCCAAGTTGGGTCCCCGCCTCTGGTTAAAAAGCTGCCTCAGGGGCCCAGGAGGGAGGCTTCAGGCCTCTTAGGCAGGCCTGGCCAATCTTCCTAAAGCCTGGGTTCACCCTCAGCTCAAGGTAAGATCCATGTCCTTATTGTCAGGGACCACCACTTTAGACTGTCTTTGCATTTCTTACAGAATCTACCCACAAGCTCCATCTTTAGGGCCAGGATTCCCTGCCTGCCCAAGGACTGGGGTCATTTGGCTAATTTCTCAATCTGATTGAGATTGAGATGAATCAATCTCAATCTCAAATCCTTTCACTGCCTTGATAGAAAGGACTTGCAGAGCCTAATAGTGTTACTATCACTTTAATAAGGCCAAAAAGGTGATTCCTTACTTAGACAGTTCACAGTAAAAGATACTAGAAATGGCTCTTAAACATATAAAATGATCCTTAACTTCAGCCCCCAAATAAGAGGAATAAAATAAAATAAATTTACTGTAAGATACCATTTTTCAGATTAACCACAATGAAAAGGTTCCTGTGTTGGTGAGGATGTTGGGAAATGAGCACTTTCATATGCCACTGGAGAGCGTGAACATTCTCTTTTGAAGAAGGAATCCCTAAAACCTCGGGCCTCTGGTCTGATGAGGGGACGTTGGGAGGGAGGGAGTCACTTGCCTCTGTTAATTCTGGGGGCCTTCCTCTCCTTAGTCTTACAAAATGCTGGATGGAAGGGTCAAGCCAGTAGCCAAGGCTTACTGCAGACCTAAAAGGGAAGAAAGGAGGCAGGTGAGGTGAGGTCAGTAGGTTCTGACCCAGTTCTCAGGAACCAGGTCAAGGAGGACAATCAGCTACCTCCAATAGCCAACAGAGGCAGATTTCGTGCTCCATTACAAATGTCAGGAGACTCAGCCACCCATCTTGGTGCTCACATACACGGCCCCTCATCACCACCCTCCCTTCCCCAGCAACCATTTCTTTTCTCTCTTTGCTCATGTGCCTAACTCCCTTCCCAGGACCCTACAGAGCACAGCACCTCACCTCATACCTCACCTAGAAGACCTCCCACCATTTATTCCCTCAGCAAACTCATTGGCAAGAGCCAGTCAGACAACTCTGCTCGACCACAAGTTCTGTGTCCGTAGGAAGGGAGATCTGAGATTGTTTCCTAAAACTCACGAAAGACTACCTAAGCCTTTCCCCCGGCTCCGTGGAAGGTACCAGTCCTTCCACATCTCTCAGGCAGGTCATAGTGGGAAAACCAGGAACTGATAAACACAACAGCTATAACCTAGAAAATGGTGCAGTAGCCTGAAGTCTGGTCTACACAACCTGGAAAATGCTATGGTAGCCTAAGCTCTCCCCAAGGAACCAAAGTTTTAGTGTTCTAAACCAGGAGCTGAAGCCCGGATTACCAGTAAAGGTCTTCTGCCAACTGTAAGGAACCAGCCTTAGAAAAACAAGAAGTAGCGGAAGGAGCCTGGATCCCTAAGACCATTTTGTGAAGCCATTTTGGCCCTTGCCCTTCAATGGCTATCTTGGGAATTAATAAACATGTTTACCACTCAAACCAAATGGAGTTGCATGGTCAGCTCTTGGTTTCAGCTCAGGTCACGATCTCCGAGTTCTGGCATTCAGTCCGGCATCAGACTTCATCTTCAGTGGGAAGTCTGCTTCAGGATTCTCTCTCCCTCTGCCCTTCCCCCCACTACTCTCTCTCACTCAAATAAATCTTTTTAAAAAAGTAATAAATCAATCGAATGGAGTTGGTCTTCCGTTACTTACACCGTGAAACATCCTAAGTGCTATCCTGAGTATGTTACCTCATTTCCATTTGCCTGATTAGTAAGCTAAAAGGGGTAGGGTGTATGCAACTGTGTGTGTCTATGTGTGTTTGTGTGTTTGTGTCTGTGTGTGTGTGTGTTTTCACCCAGCTAGGTTCTAAGTTCTCAGATATCCATCTCAGATAGACATCATATGTTCTCTTCATATCCACCGACAAGGCTTACTGCTGCCCTGACTACAGTCTGTGCTAATCCTGTACCTGTCCCAACCAGTCTCCCACAGACGGCCATGTGCCCACCTCAGCAGGCACCCGTAAGGAAGCAAATACCTTCGGCTACTCGAGGCAGCAACTCAGCACAGAAACACAGTACGCACTAAGGGACACAATTACCTACAAGCCCAGACTGTCAAGGAAAACTGACCCACAGAGTTTTACAAAGGTGAACACACTCTGTTGTCTAAAACAGTGCTTTTCAAACAATGAATTGTGACCCATACATGTTCACAAAATCAATGTAATAGTCTGCGAATCCCCGGCTTAGAAAATGCAAATGACAAGAGTTAAACAGAAAATATCAGCATCCATTACATACTGTAAGAGTTAAAGATTGTTTTGTGAAGCTGTTGTTAAAGTCTGTGTTCAGGGTATAAGTGCCCTGAGAAGTTTGTTCTCCAAACCAACAAAACCAAATAGACTCCTCAACACAGAATGATGATTGCCAGAGGGTAGCGGAGGAAGGGGGGTAGCGAAACTGGTGCTGGGGATTAAGAGGTACACACTTCCACTTATATAAATAACTCACAAAAATGAAAAGTACCTCAGGAATACCATCAATAATATCATAATAATGTACTGTGACAGACAGTGAATACACATAATCGTGGTGAGTGCTGAATAACGTACAGACGTGTCAAATCAGTAATGCTGCACACCTCAAACTGACATAACATTGTACAGATCAAACTATATTTCAATAATTAAAAGAGAGAAAATTGTGTTCTCACTGTTGGGGATTTGATGGGCACTGTCCTCAAAGGCATCATGTAGTGCCCTCTAGTGGTTAGAGCCAGATCTGCAGTTGAGAAAGAACAACAGACCAGAGAGACCTCAAGCATGGCTGTCAGGTTGGAAGCAACCTTCCAAATGACCTGGTCAACCCTGACATCCAGGGCAAGAACCCTTCAACAACACCAAGCCACCGCCTGAGCACGCCCTACAAAGAAAGCACTCGCTCCCCCGCTGAGCAGCTCTACCTGCTGAAAAGCTGACCAAGCTGCCTTCCTCTAGGAGCCCAGGGAGGGGCTTCCTACTGCCCTCTCCTGGATGACACGGAGCAGCTTCTGTATTCGCCCTCAGCTAACACTATTGATCCAGACAAACAATACTTGTTGAGTGTCTGCAAAGTACCAGGCATTGGGGATACAGCGGGGAACCCAGGAAGAGACAGAGACAAAGTAAGAGCTTATGCCAGACGAAGGACAACAGCATGGGGGATGACGGACCTGCATCAGACAAGGTCAAAGGGAAGGCCTCTCTGAAAAGGGGAGGGCTGCGTGGACTCCCACAGAATTGGAGAAAGCTGTGCAGAAGGCACTTGGGATGGGATGAGCAGCTGATAGAAATGCTCTGGGCAGGAAGCACCTTGGAATGTTCCAGTAGCAGCAGGTAGGCAGGGAGGCTGAAGAACAGCAGAGAAACAGGAGAAACCTCAGACTTCTGGGGTCTCTGTAAGTGTGTGTGTGTGTGTGTGTGTTTTAATTTCTCTGTTTTAAAATTTTTTTACACTACCCATATGCCATATTTCACTCTAAGACACCATCAAATATAAGACTGAAAAAAGAAAGAAGAAACACTTTCAGTTAGTCAGTGTTCTTCCTATTGCTTAGAATTTGATTTTGATTTTGATTTTGTGCTGATGAAAACGCCCTTCAGATGTATTTGAACAGAATGAAAGGGAAAGCATGAGTGACAGAAGTTGGTTAAGTCTTTTATATTTAGGGTCATGATCCTTCCCAAATTTATGTGTGTGTGTAAAGAATTAGTTAGGCATCAAGGTCTGTTTTGTTTCCACTTCAATATCCAATTCACCCAGAATTTTTCACTACAAAGACTCCCCTGGGTCACCTGACTTGTTCACTCTGTTGGGCATGGTCCTCGGCTCAGGTCATGATCCCTGGGTCTTGGGATCCAGTCCCACATTGGGCATCCTGCTCAGCAGGGAGTCTGCTTCTCCCTTTCCCCTTCCTCCCTGCTCATGATCTCTCCCTCTCTCTCTCTCTCTCTCTCTCTCTAATAAATAAATAAATAAATAAATAAATAAATAAATAACTTAATCAATCTTTTTAAAAAATAATTGAATTACTTCCTTTTCCCCATTGTACTGACACTCTGGGCAAAAATCAATTGACAGTACCTGTTGTGATTGGTCTATTTTTATTTTATTTTTTTTTTAAAGATTTTATTTATTTATTTGACAGAGAGAGATCACAAGTAGACAGAGAGGCAGGCAGAGAGAGAGAGAGGGAAGCAGGCTCCCTGCTGAGAAGAGAGCCTGATGCAGGACTTGATCCCAGGACCCTCAGATCATGACCTGAAGGCAGCGGCTTAACCCACTGAGCCACCCAGGCGCCCCTATTTTTAGACTCTATTCTGTTTCATTGATCTATCTTTACACCAAAGACTTTGATTACTGTCATTTTACTGTAAGTCTTGAAATTGAGCAGGAATAAGTAGTGTGGG